GTGCAATTTTCTCATTGTTACAGCATCAAGCACATTTGATTTGAAAAGGACTGTGAATGCATGCCACAATCTGGGCATTACACAGCCTTGTAATGCATATGGACCATGGGAAAAATCTCTCAGGACACCCAAGGCATGTGATTTTCTTATGGCCAAATCCTGTTTGCATAATTTCCTTCTTTTATTTTAGGATTAGAACTTCTGCTCTTCAGAAAAAAATAGATTTTTATGCCCCCCTTTTGAATTCTTTTGTGAATGAATTACCTGGTACGTTTCCCACAGCTCACTGCTGCACTGGAATGCCATATAGGAGCCAAAGAGCTTTCTTTAAATGCTTTGTGAATTTCCCCAAAACACAGTCTTACATCCCAAAGAGCACACTGCTCCTCAGCTCTGTGGATTTTTTTGTAGAATGAAATAGAATGTAATACGTATTCCCAGAGGTATGGAAAAAAGAGAAAAATCAATATTTAATACTTAATCTTTAGATTTTTCAAAATATTTATCAAAAAATTCTCTTTAATGCAACATGCAATGGGAATTGCCTATGCTTTAATGCATGAAAATTATGTTGTCCTAGTACCTTTCTCTTTCTTGTTTCTGGCTTCCTTGAGATGCTAACAGAACAACAGATGGCAAACCTTGCCTTCCATTTGGTATCACTGGAATTTAGGGCACACTGCAGTGATTAAACAATAGAGTTGGAGGGATATCCAAAAACGGCAGCCTCAGCACTGAACTGTGCACTGTTGGCTGCAAAACAGACAAAGCAATGCTGGTAACCATCAGCACTGAGCACTTGATGCAAATCTGCTCATGCAAGAGGAGGTGGGATATGGAAAGAGGGAAGGAGATCTCATTATAGGAGGCACTAGTGCTGTAATAACAATAATAAATGCCAGAATTTCTAAGTGTCATGAAACTCCATTTCAAAACCAGGCGGCCAAAACAATAGTTTGCCAAAACCAGGCATGTATCAGCATTCCCCAAAAAGCACAGAGAAGGTATGAGTCTCCCAAGGAAAACTCATGGCTCTACTTCTAAACAGTTTCAGGTGTGCATGATAAGAGTCAGAAATACCAGAGAAGAAAGGCAGTAAAGACACACCAGATACAAACAGATGTAATGTGTTATCTGGTCCAGGTATCAATGCTGATAGAAGTCTTTAGGATTAAGAGCTAGCTGTGATTGATTTGTGAATGTCAATGTATTTTTACAGTCAGGTTTTTTAGATGATGCTGATTGAGAAATAGCTTCAGACTGTTCTGTAGCACCAAAGAAATGTGAAGAAAAATTACACAACCCAGTACTGAATCAGTACTGTAGACACACAGAAACTCTGACAATTTCCTGTTCCCACAGAAGAAATAAAAAGGGAGGACAAGTAAAAAATTGCGCCCTGGTAAGATGGTGACTGGCTGTCAGATCACCCAGACAAGGTCTTTACTGAAGCTGATTTGCACAGCTAAAGGGGACAGCTTTCATCTCATGTTGTGAGAAAAATGGGGCTGGACTTGCAGGTAAAGATTTTGTCTAGATCCTTACTGTCCTCAGGCTGTTAAAATAAAAAACAGATTTAGAAACATTTGTGTAGCTAAAGTAATAAATCATGAACAAGTGTGTAGACAAGAGTGGGCACACAGGAAAGACCAGGGAGAATGCTGGAAAGGTACAAGAATCCCATATTGGTGTCTGCTGGGACAAAGAAAGGTAGCATAGCAAAGGATAGACCCACAGTTCAGCCCCAGTCAGCTGACCAGATGAGTTTCTATCACTCTTTGAACTCTTTGACCAGGAAGTTTCCTCCATAAAGAGATATTTTCCTATTTGATCTGTCCCATGCTTGGTTCATAAATTCTGCATCTAGAAAGTGTCTAGGTCCCACATTGTCTTCTCCCTGCCAAGAGGAACATCTTATGGGACTTGTATTTCTGGTTAGGCACTTGGGTCAAAAAAGAACTTTATAATACTGAGGTTCTGGGAATGCTTTTCAAACACTGTATGCCTATCCCATGTGCCAGACTGCCATACTAATTGCCCCTCCTATGCCATTTACATGTGTGCTCTTAGGCTTCAAATCCCCTTCACCTGTTAAAATAAATTAATTAATTAAATAACTTCCTCTGTAAAGTTTTCTTTGAACATTTTCTTCTTGCTTTTTAACAAAATCAGGCTGAAATATAGCATAAAGGTATTAAGCCAGATGCAAAACACTTTGTACTTGAAATAAGAAGACACCTACATCTCTAAAACATAGTAGGCTTCAGATTTTTTTCCAAATGAATTCTCCAGGCCAGTTCTATTGAGGTTAGTTTCCAATGTACCCAACAGCACTGTAACTAGGCATCATTAACAAAATAAATCTAGGCGAGGCAATTCATTTTTCTTAGCTAAACAGTTATAAGTGGAATGTGTATCTCTAACAAATGTTTGGAAATGTCTCTTCTCATGGTGGTAACAAATTACAGAAAAACACAATATTTGGGCAGTTTTGTTGTAGAAATCAACTTAACTTGCTAGGAGACAGATTATAGCTTTGGAAAAAAAAAACACTAATTGGGCTGGTGAGGCTAGAAAATTGGAAGATTTCAGGCTTGCTTAGAAATGGAGGATTAGCAGTGAATTATGACCTGATTTACAGAGTTGTTTGTCAATACCTGCAAAATTCCCTGAGCACTTCTGAAAACAGCCCTGCACAGAGCAGCGGGAGCAAAGAAAAGGTTTACTAAGTAAATGTCAGTTGTGGGAAACGTCAAAATGAACAAAAGTTTTAAAACATTGCCCCAGATTATTTGATCAAACCCACATAGTATGTGAGTGAGCAAAGGATTAAAACTAGAACTCATGGCCACACCTCCCCAGTGCCATCATGTCCAGTGGACTCAGCTTGAGACTTCTGGAAGAAACACAGCTTAGGGCAAGAATTTGGCTATTGAAATGCTCCTGGTTCCTGAAGCAAGAAGGAGGTGAGTCCAAATCTGAATTCACTTTGGAGTGAGGTGTTTTACAGGAAATCAATCACTGTGAAAGTCCAGGTGGGGAGAAGGATTTTTCGTGCTATGGAGCATAAGTCTATCTGGATTCCTGGATGATATGTTCTGGAGATTTGCCATGCAGCAGATTCCTGCTCTAGGTGACAAGACAAATTTCAGCAAGTAATCCATAATACGTGCTGTGAACAGTGAGAGAAAGAAACATTCTGTGAGCAGTTAATTGTACAGGATGATGTTACAGTGTTATGCCTAAAGGCAAGGGCATAACACTTCTTCCAGCTCACTAACAAGCCGAATGTAGGAGCTTTCATTATGCAGTAGTACTCCAGTACCTCAGTTCACAATACTTTCATCTTTAGGGATAAAAACAATCAAGGAATATATCAACAGAGAAATATATCACTTTGGAAAAATATATTCTGCAGTAGTTTTCATAGATTTCTACAAAATATTAGAGTGGGTTAAATTCTGTGGAAATTAATTTAAGGACAGATTTCAAATCTGTAGCAGGTCAGGGACAAAGAGCGAGATTTTCATCTTTAGGCTCTATACTGTGTTTTGTTCACCAGATACGAAATTTAACCCACAAACTTTTATTCCAAATTTATGAGGAGCATTCATTTTCCACTGTCAAAAATAAGGGAATAGGAATTTCAGTATTACCTGTTTTCTGTTAGAACCTTAAAGTGTTAGAACCCTTCTCATTTAAAACTACATTTAATTTCAACTCTATATTTTAGATCCTTAAAGTCTTTGGAAAATCACAACTATATTGAATAATGTAAAATGAGATGTGCTTCCACGATGTGGAGTTTTGGTCAACAAACACTATATTGGGTTTTTTTCTTAGATGATGGAGTGCTTCTAAATTCCACTTGAAAAGTTCTCAGCTGACAGCAGAATTGAACTAAAAAAGTCAACATATAGGGCATTTCTTAGACCATTATGTAAAAATTTGTGAAGAAGAGCCTCTGGAGAGGAATAATGGGCTGCTCTGAACAGCAGAGCAGTGTTTGTCACACAGAGTTTCATTATTTTTGCTTCCTCAAGTTGTGTCTGTGATTTTTGTACAGTGTTCATTACTGTGGAATATAAGCAACCACAGCCTTATAAACCACAGTTTATGAAAAAATGGTCATTGCTTTGACTTCAACATGGAGACCGCCCAGAATTTTAGGCTCAAATCTTACTCCTTTTGAATTGAAAAAATAAAAATATAGAATTTGTTTAGACAGAAACCAACCCTCTTTTATATTGGTCTCAGATTATAGCAGCACTGAATACAATTAATTTTATCAGGCAATTTAATTTAACTTTAGAATATAGAATTAATGTGGAAAATTATCCAAATGGAAGATGTTTAAACAGAACTGAAAAAAAGTGTTAGGAGTACATTACATAAGAACATAAGAATAGCTTAACTGCATTAATCTGGAGGTCTGTCTCATTTTCTGTATTACATCAAAATGTGGTCTGCCATGCTGAGTACTCTCATCACTTTGCCAGCTAGTGACAGTAAGGAAGAAATGCCAGGGTTTGGCCCCATGCTTGCAGAGGTGCACACTTCCTGACATCAGATGTAAAAAGTAAAACAGGTGCTATAGCACTTACAATTACTCCAAGGGAACAACATTAAGTAGATTAATGAGAATCTGAACTAGGATGAACTTCTTGAAGTTTCAACGAAACTAAACCAGGCAGCTTCACTCTGACACATGCTTACGGGACAGTGCTCTGTCTCAGTTTGCAATACTGAAAAGAACTTAAAACCACAAGCACATCTAAATGCTATCCCATTCTGAAACGTATTTTTATTAAAATATAAGGTGCCTTCAGATTGTTCTTTATATTCTGTCTCCTATTACTCCACATGCACAGTTCTCTAATCCATCCAAACCACTTGTAATTTCATTTTTTTAGCTTCTCTGTCCCTACACTGGAGAAACAGATTTTTGAAGGCTGTGAGCTCAACTGCGCATTTCACTGTGTAGGAGGAAATGTCCACCATTACTCTGTTGACATAAGTTTCTCTAACATGCAGATTGTGCTGAATTTTGCAAGTGTTTGTTCATCATGAAAATAAATCACCTGTTCATAGAAGGTTAATGATGTGAAGAGCTTAAGGCCACTCACTTCTCTGTTAATGAGGCCATTACTGAAGACAACATATAAGCTGGTGATGGTGCTGTGCAGGGCCAGGAGTTGGGCTCGGTGATCTCTGAGGGACCCTTCCAACTCTGCCTTATTCTGTGATTCTGCAAAGCTGGATATTCTTGCTGTTGTGCTAGGGGCAAGCAAGCAGAGGAACCAACCTACTGCACTTGCTCATTCCAGATCACAGAGCTCATTTGTACAAGCCTAAAGTCATATGCACTACATTTACATGTTACCAGCATGGGATTTACAGCTAGGCATGTAGAACAACTGTGGCAGTAGTTTCAGTTTCTACATTTGCAGGCAGCTACTCTCACCTCCAGGGAACCTGGCTGCCACGTTTCTTCCTACTGTCACCTGAGAAGACACCTGCAGCTGGGTTTCCATTCTGTACCAAAACCACCTTGTTTGAGTACATACTTGCAGAAAAGTGTTGGGAAACTTGTATTACCACAGAGGGTTTTTTTTACCTAAACGCTCCCTAAGAAAGGAAAAAAGGTGTATTTCTATGAGCCTGCAGTGGAAAAAATAGATTTGTTAAAAATCAGATAGTAGCAATGACCCTTTTGCTTTGTCCTTCAGTGTAAAATATTTCCAAATATATACCTCTCTTTAGAGATTTGCAGAGTACAGGGGAAGAGTAATGCAGCCCAGCAGCTCTCATCATTATATAAGAAATTATTTATTCACAGTTAAAGTAAGTGCTACATTTTGCCGTGTGGTGAAAGCTAAGCATAGTTAATTTCAGATTTTTATAGTGTTTCAACACGAGCATGATAAAATGCCATATGGTGCTCTTGTAACAGGGCAAACTTTCCAAAATCAGCATGATTCCCTTTCTAACCCACTTGCTGAGGTGCACACGTGCAAGGCCAGGTCCCTGCTTGCGCTGGCCCCGTGGAGCGCATCCCCTGCCCGGGACGGCCCCGGAGCCGAGCCCCGAGCCCGAGCCCCGATCCCCGATCCCCGATCCCCGATCCCCGAGCCCCGAGCCCCGAGCCCAAGCCCGAGCCCCGAGCCCGAGCCCCGAGCCCAAGTCCCGGGCCCCGAGACCCGAACTCCAGCCCCGAGCCCCGAGCCCCGAGCCCGAACTCCGAGTCCCGATCCCCGAGCTCCGAGCCCCGAGTCCCGCCCGCCGGCCGAGGATGCAGCCCGGGAGCCGCCGGCAGCCTGTGCGGGCGCTGTACGCGGACATCAAATGTCAGAGAATGGAATTTGACCCAGTTTATGAAAGGATCTTCTCTGCCTCTTGCTGCCCTCTGCTGTCGCACGCCGCGGTGGCTCGGCGAGGGCTGCGGGGCCACAGCAAGGATGGTCACTGCGGAGCACCCGAATCTGCCGGGGGCAAAGCCCCACAGCTGAGCTGCAGCCCCGCAGGACAAAGCAGAGAGCTTGTAAACCGGGTCGCTGTGAAACAGCGCTGAAGTTTCTCCTGTGTAGCAATCTACTCGTGCTTTGTTGGTGTGGGACAACAGGGTGGTGTTGGTCCTGTGCAGTGGTCTGGAAAGGGAGAGAGCACTGCAGCCAAGGGACCTGTAGGGTCTTGGCTTTTCATATAAAAACCTACATCACAGATGCAATGGTTTCAAATGTTTTTAGCATACAAGTGAATCCAAGAAGTTCAGTTCACAATACTTTCATCTTTAGCAACAGTAATCAAATACAACCTGACTATTACATTATTTCAGTGTTCTGGGTCTCTTGGGTCAGCCACCTCTTTCTAAAAATGCACTCTTTCTGCAGTAACAAACCTCTAACCAGAGCAGAGTGAACACTTCAGTGATATTTTTCAAACACCTTTCCAAATGTGTGAATGTACTGAGAGATTTTCTGTTTGAACACCTGGGGACCCAATGTGAGCTCCCTTGCTCCTCTGGCCAGCCCACGATGTTGCTTAGAGTCCCATCTCCAAGGGGCACCCAGTGGACACTGAGATGCAGAGGAGACCACCTCAGGGCAACCACAGCATGCTGTTGGTTCATTCCCCCATGTTTGCTTCAGGTGCCACTTGCTCTTCACACTTCTTTAACAAGGACTTGCATGAAGATCTGGGTGACTGCACAACAAGATTTGTGTTTCTTTAAATGCTCATTTTGATACCTGCTCTGTTACATGGATTACAAAGTGCTCTTGAGCCAGCCTGTCCTGCACATGATACAGGTAGCACCGACAATCTTGGGGATATTGCAGCTCTAAATGCAACATTATTTTCATCTGTAACTTGATTGTGTCAAGGTTTTTCTAGTTAAAAAAATATGTTAGTGATGGACTGCAACTAGAGCTACAGCATGCCCAGGTGGACAGTCTCTCTGACTGTCTCTCAGACTTCCCACTGCTGTTCCTCTGCTATATATCCTGCCTCATTGGTATTTCTAATTGTGAAAATGGCATTGGCAAATAAGTATCTTACAGCAGCACCTGCAGATCACCACACACTAAAACACTCTCAAACAGAGGATGAGTCCCTAACACTTGTGCAATATTCTAGAAAACTTTTTTTTTCTCAAAACTTGGACTAGACCCTGATATAATTCTTTAAAGTAGTTTAGGGTGAGGAAATATTTATTTTACAACACTGAAGAGTGTTGACAGCTTGTTCTTTGACAGTTTGTTCTCAGGCATTCCTCAGAAAAGGTGGGAGTTTTACAAGGAGGAATGAATACCTGCAAGAAGGCCACTCCTGTCCTGGAGTGTTAGTTGGATGCCAATAAACTACTCTTTCAGGCACAGACCTTGGTTTGAAAGGCACTACAGAAAATCCAGTGCAGCCCTCAAGGCACTGGAGCCCTCCTGTCAAAATTCCACTCACCTTTTTTTCCTGCAGATGTCAATTACAGCCATGACAATGGGGGAGAGAGATTGGGTGGTGAGGAGTATGACTTGTCCCAGTGACTGTGAGCTTAAAGAAGAAAACTTGTAAATTGAAGGTACTTGTACCATCATGAAATGCCTGATGAAGGAAGATGGGAGAAACAAAGAGAGGAAGGTGGGTTAAAACTGAAATACAAGAAGACTAGTGAAGAAGCTTCATGGAAGAGAAAAAAGCATGTGCTCTGAGAGTATTCTTAACTTCAGATCCTGAAAAGCTAGCTCAGTTTCCCCAATATCTCTATTTCTCTGATGAAAGTAACCACTATTTGCATATCTGGCAAGAGCAGTGCCCCAGTCCATGTATCATTTTTCCCTGTAATGTGAAAAGGGATTTTCTGGAAACAAAACAAAAACAACTTTGAAATGTTCAAGAAGCACCTCAGAAAACTTAGAAAAATGTCTTGTTTTCACACAGGACATTGACTAGCATGTAATGAAGGAGGCATTTGACATACGTTCAGCCACCTTAATTAAAGGCAACATTGAGCCATGGCTTATTGATTCATTTGCCAGCAGTGAATGAGGCAAGGCTGTCAGGGAACAGGAAAAATTACACCTTATATCATAATGTTTATAATACCTAAGAGAATTGAATTGCTATTACATATTTAATCTGGCATTTCCTCACTTTTGAAGGTAGAATTTTGCAGCCCGACTTATAATCTTTTCCTGTATCTCATTTAGTAAGCAATAAATATACAGGAGAAGATGTGAATTGGAGCTCTTGGCATTTCATGTCTGAAAGGAAGGAAGGTGGATGAGATTTCCTCTAAAGCTTTAATATTCTGAAGTCAAATGAGCAAAATAAAACTAGATACAGACAGTCCTGCCTTTGGAGCTTAGGCACTTTTTAAAACCAGAATAAAGGTAGCTCTGGCCTTTAAACTATGTTATAATACAAATACATAATAAAAATTTGAATTAAAAATACTACCTTGACATGTTTCTTTCCATTATAGTTTGTTTTATGTGCAGTCTCATTCTTCAGTCTGGGTTTCCTCTTGCTTCTGGAGTATGCTGTTGTGGTTTTTTAACCCAGGCAAGAGGGACTCTCTATGAAAATATGCCACAAAAGAATATTTTAAGCAGAGCACTGGGCCCAGGCAGAGCCATTGACATTTGCATTGACATTTGTGAATCACTGAGGTCACTAGCCAGCCAGCTCTTCCCATCAATGAGGTTAAGTTGCTGTGCAGGATTTACTGTCAGCCAGGTCTTCCTGGCATGTGCATCTCTATGAAACAAGAATGAGGTTAGCCAAGGTATCTATTTCCAGTATTACTAGAAAGGTAATAAAACTGAATAAAGATGACATAGGGAGTAATTTATTTTAACAAGTAAATTTTTTAACGTACATGGAAGGGCATTTCAGCTTGAATTTCTAATATCAGATTATTCTGGACTGGTTTATGACCACCATATTCATTCTATTGCTTAAAGAATTTTGGCTCAGAAAGAAATTTGGTTTTAATATTGCTATTTATATATATAAACCTGCAATTCATAATTCATGCTAAAAGCCATGAGACTGTATTTTGGGATTCAAGACTAATGTATTTCATATCATGTTGCTAAATTAAAAGTTAAGAAAAGATTTGGGGGTAGAAAGAAATGAGGAGGGACATGAGTTCCTCTTTTTCTCATGTTATGAAACAGATAAATTCACACCATTTAAGAAGTAAAAGAAATCATCAAGGCAAAACATGAAGCTGTCTTGGAACATGCTGGGACTTGTCTGGAAGAGTTATTAAATTACAAATACTACTGGATTCAGTGATTCCATTGTTTGCTTGCTTTTATTGAAATGACATAAAATGGAAAAGCTGATGCATAAATACATAATAATGTTAGAAAATCTAGTAGGAAAACTGGGGGATTTTTCTCTATAAGGAACATGGAAAGGTATTTTTATTTTTTACGAAGCCTCCCCAACTGAAGTGGATCAATTTATTTTCAGACTCTGGATATATTAATACACTTTTCTTGGCCCAGTACTCAGCTAAGAAAATTTGCCCTTGGGACTTATGCTCTTTTTTTCAAGCTTTGGTAAATTGGCAATAAAGCCTGAAATGCCTGTTGCAGAAGGTGATGATGACTGGGAGCATCAGTGTTGCCACATGCAGGGCCTGAGCATGGTCTTGGACAGCAAGGAGGGGGTCAAACGCTTGGCCAGCAATCTACAGCTTGAGTGGTGAATGCAAGCCAAGGCTGTAAAAGACATTTTTTCATGGTGCTGTATCACGCTTCAGACGTGCCTCCCCAGGATGCTTCCAGCAGCCAGCACAAGCCTGGGAATCACAACTGGGTTGGTGCAGCTCCAAATGTGCCAAGCCTATGCCTGTGGGAATTTTGGGCTCGGTGCAAACACAAAGGGCATGAGGCAGGCACAGTGCTGCCTGGCTACTTCACTTTAAATGCTATTGCACACTGAAAAAATACTTCTGAAGGCATATCCTTCAGCATAGGATGCAAAAGTTCCGTTTATGGGCAGATTTCCATTATCACTCTCCTTTTTATTTAAGTGCCACCATGCCCACCCCCTGACCCATCCCACCCCCCTTCAAATTCTCCTTTGGGGTATGATCCTTTATATGTTTGGTCCCAGTTCAGGGATGAAATGTGCATGTTATGTGGAAATTATTAGAAAACTCCCTTCAGCTATTTTTGAGGTATAGCAGTGTAAAACAGACTCCTCCCATGCTCATATACAATTTTTTGAATTTAATTCCATTTCTCTCCCCTCAGTTGCTGAGTGTCTGTGACAAAAAAAAAAAAAAAAAAAAAAAAAGAAAGAAAGAAAGAAAAAAAAAACCAAAAAACAAAACACACCAGAACAACAGTCTCTCACCAACTCTCCCAAGGACTTCTCATAGCAAAGCCAAGCTAAGCTAACAGGCAGTGCAATGGAATGAGTCTTACATCAGTTGTCTTTAACAAAACCTGAAGATATACACACAATGGGAGAAAAAAAAAAAAAAAAAAAAAAAAAAAAAAGAAGTGAACATAATGGAGTTCTTTAAGTTTTTATCATTAAACTTGTGTGAGTGGTTTTTTGTTTAAGAACAGCACTTTTTATTGCACTCTGCCAGCTTATTTTGATTTTGCTATGATTGATAAAAAGGAAGCATTCCAGAACTGCTTTTTTCCTTAACTAGCATTTAACTGAGACAGAAAGCAAACCTTTGTCCACATATTTTTCTTTGTTTCTCTGTTTACCAGTAAAGCTTATCTTTAATCTTCAACAGCTTTGGAATGATGGAGAGAAGTTACTTTGATGGCATCTTAAAATAAGGCACACCTGTGAAAGCAGATCACTGGCCTAAAATAAGCTTGTTGATCTCACATACATCAGTGTAAAAGTGTAATTCCTCTAGGCTCAGTGTTTCAGAGATCAGCACCTGGCCTAAAAGACTGAAGCATTACATTTTTAGAGCTTGATGTTGATGCTGGCTACAGTTTGGTTTAATTTAATGAAAAAAGATACTATTTCAACAGCTGGAGAATCAACTCCAGACAAAGCATAATGTTGTGATTGCACTACATTATATAGCTGTTCTGGAGGTGAAAATCCACTTCATACAGTTTTGGCTCCAAGACACAGCCCTCGACTTTATCTCAAAATTGCATAGAGCCTACAAAAATGCCAATATCCTTCAGTGTCACCCAGATGAGCAGTTTAAGAGGAAGGCTAATCCTAAGACCACAGCAGAGGAATCCAAGATTGAGAAAGCTAGACAAGGCTCAAGGATGGCTGGAAAACACTTGCCCTGTAGGTGTTATTTGGAAACATAGTCCCCCCAGAATTAACTGCCTAATTCCACCATGGGGATCAGATAGGATGAAGCAGTTTTATCAACTGAAAAATCAATTGCTGTCTCATACGGGAGAGCAGGGTCAATAGCCATTCATCTTCTTTTCCTTTCTGTAGCATTCACACTCATTAGTTAGCTTCTAAGTCTTCCTCCACTTCCAAATTTGTTTACAGCAGCAGAGAGCCAGTAAAACACCAGAACAGGCATACTAAAAACAGGCTTGCCAAAAGCACTCTCATGCTAATAATACACATATTTTCAGTCACATATTTGTATTGTCAAGGCCTTAACCTCTTGATTTTTTTTGTCTAAAAAACCAGTGAAAATGTTGAAGATGTATCAGGTCTCACTATATGGTGAAAGACCTGGATTCTGTAATGTGTTTATCAAAGCCAAAACCTCACAGAGGGTACTGTTTCTTCTCCAATATCCATTTGTTTACAGTGTTTCATTGCTTAAAATAAAAGTGGTAGAAAGCCTTACTTTGCACTTGATATGACAGAACATATTATGTTTCTGTGCCTGTATATCCTTCCTAATTTCCATAAACAGATTTCTGAAGGGTAATTTTTTGGTGTTTTCTAAATGGTCATGAACAGCTGGAAAATACAGCCAAAACCTTAAACCACCTCCACTGATGTTCAACCACAGATACTGTTGCTATCTATCCATGAAATCAACATATGCCCCTAAACTGTTCATATCTAACTCAGAACCAAATAAGAGTTTTTTTCTGCACACTGGTTGGATGCAGTCTGAAACTGATGGTAGAAAAGAGCTACAGGAAGTGATGATGCAGTTTAAATCCTGCCATGAAGGTTGTTCTGTGCCTTCAGATGGACAGGGAAGAGCTTGTTTGAGATGCTCTGAGCTGCCTGTTCCTGCCAGCAATGCGTGTGCCTACTGGTGGGACAGCTCACACTACAACTTGAGGAGCATTACAGAGTAGCACACGAACTAATAGAAGCCAGTGGGGCTACTCAAAGGCAGTCCTGGGGATACTGAGAGTGTGGCAAATGAGGAGGCAAAGCCAGAAGAGAAATAAAGGATGGCATTGCCAAGGAAGCAATGCAAGAGGCAGTAACTGGATCTGGAAGGAGAGAAAAAGGTGGTAAGGAAGGAAGAGGAAGGACAAGACAAGGCAGCAGCAGGAAAGTCAGTCTGCAAAAGCTGTCAGCTTTTAGTTAGATTTTCTGGCCAAAGTCTCTACCAGTCATTCCTCCACCTGGCCCTACCCATGGCTGCTAATGTGCAATGGTTGAAAAGACATTAATTCTTGATGTTTAAGACAACAGTAATAGGGATTCAGCATATGGATGTTGCTATTAAAAACATGCACCATTTTCTCAGCATAATCTTCTCTAGGATTGGATTCCAGAGCTGAAATCTCCTTCTGCTGTTGTATAACTTGTCATCTATTCCCAGAAAAAAATAATTTCCTTACATAAGTATTTTGAGACCAAGATAGAAATCTGTTAACTTTTTTCTTCAATCCCTCAGTATAAGGAAAACTTTACAAACTGAATCATTCTTACACATTTCTTCCAACAAACTTCCAATTTGACAATGTCCATTTTCAAAAGTGTAGACTCCAGAAGAAGTAAAATTTTCTAAACAAAAAAATTTGTAAAACCAGTTGTGTCCTAAAACACCCTGAGTTTGACCAAAAAGCACAACATCCAGCCGAGCCCTAAGCCCTGAGCTTGTAGAAGGGCACTGGAGAACTCTCACTCTATTTGTACATGGAAAATAGACTCTTGCGATTAAAGTCCTTATTCGAATGAGACATCTTGAAATCTTCACCACACCTATGTGTGATTTT